CCCCCTTATATATATATATGAAATGACTCGGGAAGACATCCCCAACAACATATTTAAAAATAAAACAAATCGGAGAGGAAGTCGCTTTTATGCATGCATAATTACCCATATTTTCAACATATCTCTTTAAAGATATGATGTCGTACACACAGTCCGACAGATTTCTGACACACCTCCTACTTGGAGATGTCATACATAAGTCCGACAGATTTTTAGCATACCTCCTTCTTCGAGATGTCGTACATAAGTCCGGCAGATTTTTAGCACACCTCCTTCTTGGAGATGTCGTACATAAGTCCGACAGATTTTTAGCACACCTCCTTCTTGGAGATGTGATGTCGTACATAAGTCCGACAGATTTTATTGTGCGCATGTCTTATTTATATGTGTCCATAGTGTGAGTTATCGTCATCATGTATATTGCATACATGTTGTCACGTTCCGTCAAGGTCTGACAAAGTCAAAGTTTCGTCCGTTTTTCGGTCAACACATTTAAGTGCTTTACCGGGGATTTGGACTCGATTGTGTGAATCTAATGACTTCTAATCAGTCTTCTGGACCAAAGAGATAACGATTTCGATAGACTTTGTAACGAGGATCGTCTTTATTAATAAACTTATAATTTAAGTAATTGACCTCGAAATCTATTGGAATTAGTTTATAATTTTGTGATTTCGCGATTGAGTTGTTGTCCTTGGATTCAAGTTCTCTTAATTTAAGGAGGAGAGGTATAGGATCTTTGTTAGAGTTTAGCACCTGCTTGATTTGGTATTTAACGCGTTTGATTTGAACTCGTTTTCCTCCTTTCCTTTTGGTCATGGAGTAAGGATGTTGGTTTCTGTCCGCCACACTCTACGTCAGCGATCAGAAAGGAATAGAGAATTCTGTCCGCCACACTTTTTGTCAGCGATCAGAGAAAGTGAGAGGATAGATCTTGGATTGAATTAATTATTATCTTTCTTAAAATAACTCTTACTTTATTCTCAAATGTCCAAAACTTCTTGAAATTCGAATCAACAATATAAGATTTAAGTCCGAGTCAAGACGTTTCTCGGCTTTTAGTTTTAACTCTATTTGTCAAGTTAATGAGTCGTGAGTTTATGGATTAATGGTTAAAGGCAACTGAAGCTCTGAAGCTCTAAAGCTCTCTAGGACTGAAGCTCTGAACCGAAGATTCTTCTTATATTTATAGTTGAATCCCCCCACGATATTTTAAGTGGAGGAGGAAGGTATTGTTCTCCGTTCCTTCACCGCAACTCTACCCTGGTAACAGTTGTCAATGCCACCGTGGTACCGCTTCGTCGCGAGTTGTAATTTGATAAACGATCGATAAGGAATGTTCCGAGTGATTTCTCAGGAGTTTCTTTTTAAAAATTTAATTTGAATAATTTAGTTAAAATTATACGTCTGTAACAATGTATACATTGTGACGTGGCGGATTAGCTGCCGCGTGCCAGCTCCCCGCTGCCGTCCCAAGGCGCGGTGTCGGTCCGCCCGGGAAAAGAGGATCCGCGCGAGGCCGTAGGGAAACCTCCCGGGGTCGCAACCACACCTTTTTTTTTACTTGCCCGCTTACCCGAGAACTCTTTTTTATTTTTGTAACGCGCCCATCGAGCGTCACTGAGCCGACCGGACCAGCGAGGGGACCAACGGACGGCGTGGCCGAGAGACAGCGGAAGAGAGAGAGAGAGCTGAGGGGCGAGAGCGCGAGGAGGTCAGCGGGCGGCGGCCGTGAGGAAGCCCAGGGGGCCAAAACGGCGAGAGGAGCGAGTCGAGGGGAGAGGGCGAGAGGCGCCGACGGGCGGGGGAACGCCGAGGAGCCGAGCCGCCCTGGGATCTGGGGCCCGAGCACGCGGAGCCGCACCCGAGGGGCAAGTGACGAGGCGCCAACCGAACTGCCGGCCAAGGGGCGAGCACGGGCGGAGGTTCCCCGGAGGCCCTGAGGACCGGCGAGACCGGAGGGCCGACGCGCCGGAGAGCGGGCCCAGGATCGACCGCCCGGCCCTGCAAGCCGCGCGGGGCGAATTTCGCGCCCGGAAGCGCGCGGACAGCGATAGCGCCCCTGCGGGCCCGGCGACACGCCGGGCGAGCGACCCCCTGATCGGCGGATCCGCGGCGCCGCTATCTCGCGCAGCCCCTTTTCGCGATCGTAACGAGCGATCGGGTGATCGACCCGCTCGCGCAGGATCTTCCACTTTCGTTCGCGGATCCTCGTTCGAGTAACGTCGCGTCGGAGAGCGCGTACCGAGCCGGCGACCTGAGTGCCGAGCACGCGCCGAGCCCGTGGCTGGGATCGAGGAGACGAGTGCCGACCGGGACCGCGCCGTGGGACTCAGGAGGAGTGCCGGTGAGGTGGCCCTCGAGGGGAAAAATACTCTTGTAAAAGTCGCGTGCTTCCGAGGGGGTTAGCTCGCGCTCTGGCATCGCCCCGCGTTCGTTTTAGTGTTTCGGGTCGTCGGGTGTCCGCTCCAAGGGGGAGTCGGCGCCGGCCATTTCGTGTCGCGAGCGGATCGGCGGTGCCAAGCGCGGGAGCTCCCGGGGAACGGCCGTGCGTTTATCGGGCAACCGTGGCGGGAGGGCATCGGTTGTTGCGACCTCGGAGGGGAGCGTTGAACGGACGCCCCGTGCGTCGTTGTTCGAGCGGGCGCCTGTTTGCCTGCACCGGGGAATTCTTTCGCGGCGGACCGGCCCGCCGGGTGTCGGCCGCGAATCACGTGTCGCGAGCGTGAACAGCCTCCCGCGGGGAGGCTAGAGAGACCGACGGATCGCGAATTCGCCTCGGCGGAGGCCCCTTTCCGATTCTCTTCTTTTTTTTGTTGTACCCGCTTGATTAAATAGCCTATGTTACTCTCCTAACCCGTGTCGAGATTCTTTTTGTGTGTTAGTCTGAGCGTGTGTGTGTGTCGCGCCCCGTCCCGCCGTCCCGTTCCCGCGGGCCCGTAACTACGGGACTCCGCCACTCTACCGACGGTAGAGAGCAGCCGACCCTTTTTGCGTCGAGGAGGCTAAATCGCGGCGTTCACCGAGCGGATCGACGCTGTTTTCATCCGGGGAGCTGGTGTATCTCGCGACAAGTAATCGACGCCGCCCGCGAGCGCGTCTGGCGCCCAACTTGGCCGTTTTAGCGCCTGTTCCGGAGATTCGCCCGGAACGGCGACGGCCGCGTATCGTTCGCGTACGCCCCCTCGTTCTTCGTCGCGCTCGGCGAATATAGAAAGACGCGTTACAACGTTGTTACGTCCGGTTTTTGTGGGGACGCGTGTCTCGCTGGGAGACAAGAAAAATATATGAGAGGACAGGTTGGGTAGTTAAATGAATGAGCAGAAGCATCTGGGAAGGAACTAAATTATATATTCTACAGAAATGGCTATGTACAGCGTAGAGAGAGTGAGGGACAATACCGAGGAAATGAATGAAAATGGGGGAACGTAGCCCAGCGAGAGCATGTCCTTGGCGGCTCGACGCTGGGTCCTGGGCCGTCTGGCGATCCTGACCTTCTGGGGGAGGGCCTCAATCCTCACTATGCAGGGCCGAGTCTGACGAGGGGGCAGGCGCGGTTGCAGGGCCTGTGGTTCCTGCGGTGGCCTCCTCGTTGCGTCCGCCGGTGGTGCAGGAGGGGCACTGCCCAGGCTGGTCGTTGGAGGCCTAGGCGCTGGGGTGATTGGTGGGCGCGGAGCCCACGCTCTGACCGGGCACGGGTCCGGAGGCCTGTATGGAGGTGGGGGGTGTGGGTGAATGGGGGCTAGCGGAGGCTTCTCGGGTGAAGGGGGATGGAACGGGAGCGCGGGTTTATTAGGCTCTAGCGGCCTATCAAAGATTCTGGGGTCGAAGACCCCAGGAGTAGCGTACGCCCTTGCAATTCGGCGGAGCTGGACTAAAAGTCCAGCTCGTCGCGATCTGCCCATTTCTGGGAGTGCCTGCGGGAAGCATCTCGAATTAGCAGTGTTATAAAGCTGGGGAAGCAATGCATGCTGTTAGTCATGGTGGTGGCTAACTCTAACTTATTATTAATTAATATAAATCCCTTAAATAGGCATTCAGAGAAAGGGTAATTGTTTCAAGATCGCGGGGGAGGAAGTGAAAATGAACTTCAGATGCTGTCGTTTAAGTAGAATGCTCAGATGGATTCTTCGATTATAATAATCGATTCATTGCCGTCATCACTGCATTCTTGGCAACTTCTGATAGATATGATTGTAGTAGGGAAACCCGAGAGTGAGTACTTTGACTGCGGTTAACATTAATCTGAAAATGGAATGCGTAAGTGGGAAATCAAAAGTAATTACGTTAACTACTTCATTGCACCGAACGAAATAACTAAAGTTCACAACAATTAGAACGTAAGATCGGTAAACTTCGCTGTGTGCCCATCTTAGATTGAGATTCCGTCTGTTCGAGGGGACTCTGTGAAATTGCCCCTAGAACGACTGGGAACTGAGGTTGGTTGAGACGGAGAAGGTCCCCCTTTCTTTTGCGGGGTTCAGACCAGGTGACTGGTGTTGACGACGTGGAGGAGGTCGGTAAGGACTGGCGGCTCAATGCCAGTTAGAGGTGAGGTGGTGGTTTCCCGCCGGAGAAACGCCGTTACGAAGGCGCGCAACCGATGGAGGAGAACCGGAGGAACGCCGATGGAGGCGCGCAACCGGAGGCGGAAAATCGGAGGAACGCCGATGGAGGCGCGCAACCGGAGGCGGAAAATCGGAGGAACACCGATGGAGGCGCGCAACCGATGGAGGAGGACCGGAGGAACGCCGATGGAGGCGCGCAACCGGAGGCGGAGAATCGGAAGATCGCCGATGGAGGCGCGCAACCGACGGGTGAAAATCGGAGGAACGCCGTTGAAGGCGCGCAACCGAAAGCGGAGGATCGGAGGAACGCCGCTGAAGGCGCGCAACCGCAGACGGGAGATCGGAGGAACGCCAGTATAAAGGCGCGCAACCGGAGGTGGGGTTAAGAGATGAGAAGAGAGAAATAGAAAGAGACAGGAATATAGGTAGAGGTAAAGAG